AAAAAAAAAAAAAAGGGAAAAAGGATTAACCTCTGCCTCAGCCACAACCACCCACTCATTCATGTCAACCACCAGCCACCTCAACCCACCCCAAAATCCACTCTCCAACTTATCCACTCTCACAGTCAGCCAAACATCAGAACACATTCTCCACCATTTTATTGTTCCATCACACCAGAACGTCACAAGCTTGCTAGGTGCCCCAGTTGGGAGAGCAAAATAAAGCAACAGGTTGTCTTTAATGCAGAGAGACAATGTTGAATCAGTTACTGAATCTTAAAATAGGTAGTCTGACATCTTGGTGATTAGTTTACTAAATTTCAGATTTGGTGGATTTGTACTTTTGACTGTTCTGTTGCTGTATTTCGAGTTCAATGATTCAATGCCAATAATTAAGATTGGAGATTGGTGGATTGTAATGGCATGAGGGGAAACTGGCAGTTGATCTTTCCTACCAATCCTGGTGGAATCCCTTCCAAGTGGCACGGCCTTTCATTACATGTTTTCCAACGAACAAACAGGCGTAACATGCTTGTCCAAAGGAGAGCATGCAAGTATAAAAGCTATTAATAGTGAGGCACACTAACCTCTAAAACGGACATCATATAATCATCAAAACTTCTGAGGTTGTCCTTCTGGGCTTCCTGAACAGCTGAGATCATTGCCATTTCATGGACCTGGGTTGCATCAATTATAATATGAATTGATGAAACAATTTTATGCAGACCTTCCCAATTTTACCACCAGTGTGTCATGGGATAATTTATGAGAGTATTTTCAAATTACAACGTATATTACGTAAAAGTGAAATACCTGCTGCAGATACTCTTCAACAGTTGTTGCCTCAGCAGGAAAAACGTCTTCATATGTTGTCTTTTAGATGAAAATGACAACAGATGGAAGGAACAAATGAAAAATATAAATGTTTAACAATAGCAATCATTAATATCATATTAGAGGAAAAAAAGGGAAAATTATGGAATAATTAAAAGAGTGATGGAACAAAGTAGACTCCAATTTTCATTTTCAAAATATATGATACTGCAAAACAAACGTGCCTCAAATGCTCCTATTACACTTGTAGACTCTAAAGGCCGAGATGAAACTATAAGAATAGGTACTCATTTTTTCTTTTGCCTTACTGAATGCCAGATTAGATTTCCAATCATTTAGAATTGACCTAGCCTAGAGATAAGACATAGATGAAATCAGCAAAAAATTCACATAACTTGGAAGTGAGACTTCAGTAATACCATTATTGGAGCATCTCCAACAATGCTCTTTATTGGCTAATAGTCCACCTTGAAAGGTCTATTGTACCGAAAATAAGGTGGAACTAATTCCTCCACGTCCCAGAATGAAACAGGGACCAGAATGCAAAGACTCAGTGTCATTTTTTCTTTTGCCTTACTGAATGCCAGATTAGATTTCCAATCATTTAGAATTGACCTAGCCTAGAGATAAGACATAGATGAAATCAGCAAAAAATTCACATAACTTGGAAGTGAGACTTCAGTAATACCATTATTGGAGCATCTCCAACAATGCTCTTTATATTAAAGAGCAACTTGAAGAATATTTTTGAAAAAAAAAAAGAGTAAAAGTTTTTATACAATTCAATAACACTCATTATATTTAATATTTATATTGATTTTTCAAATGAGAAATTAAGACTCAACATTTTCTATCATTTCTTTTGTCTAGCTTCCCTCTTGTTTATTTTGTCATTTCCTCTCTATTTTGAGGTGTATGGGAAATTGCAAAATAGTAAATGAAAGCACTTAAAGCTTTATATAGAGAGTGGGTTTGGCTCTCCAAATCAAATCCACTCTTTATTTTAATTTTCAAAAATAGTTTGTTGGACTTCTTAAAATAAGGATCGACTCCCTATAATTAAGAGATTGGGTCTCGTAAAGAGCCTATTGGATATGTTCTTTTAATAGATGGAGTCCATCTCAAACATTTTAGTGAAAAAATCAAAATAGAACATAAATAAATATGTCAAATGGTTCTTCCGATATGTTTCAGTTTTTTTCTGCGATTCTTTCGAATTACTAGCTTAGAAGTCACAAAGTTGGTGTAAAGTATACACACAGAACACTATGATAATTAATTAGTTATTATCAACTAATTTTTTTTTCAGAAATCAACTTCCAACTCCCACATTAACTACTTTCCATTAATTAAAAGTTTCTTTCAAAAGTTTTTTATGGTATTAACTTTTGGATAAAATATTCTTGTGTTGGGGTGTACATATATAAACATATTCTACATTTTCATTCATTCCATAGAACTCGTAACATAATGTAGAAGTCATGACTACAATTTCAGGAAACCATTGCACTACAACTAGACAAGCTCTTTTGACAAGTCTTCACCTACAAATGCTACAAGCATGTATCCTGTTGAAAGCTTTTCTATGTTTATGGTAAAGATTTGAAGTGTGAATTTTTAAGAACTAAATAAGGTACAATCATATGTGTTCCATTCAAGAATCATCGTGAACATGAGAATAGCGAAACTAAAGAACATATTTTTTGAATATTACCCAAAGAATAAGCTAATTGATTGTGTACCTTCTGTTATACCACATGCAATAAGGAGATTCGTTGTTTAATAGAAGTCCTATGAAACTTTATGCTAATTAATATATCTTATTACTGAAAACTTTCAGTCCCCAGCATTACTTCAAGGGGCCAGCCGTAAATCTCTTTGCTTTCCAATATCTTCAGTCAAAAAGCTCAAATAATTATCCAAATGATTGACACAAGGAAATGCGAGCCTAAACTTAAATATTCTTAACATTACTTTTAAGATATTAAAAGACACGTTACTCTTAACACTTTTAAGATATTTGACATTTTCAAGACACCTGAGAGAAATAAGCATGCATAATTAACATTTTAAACATGCATAATTAACACTTTCAGGACGGCTGAGTGAATTTAAAAAAGTAATCATCATTTAGTACAAGTGTTCAGTTGAGAGGAGAAATGCTACCTTCAATTCAAAGGACTTAAGATCACGTGCAAGTTGTTCCGCATTTATTCCCTCTCGAGCTAAAAGCCTACAAATTCAAAGAAATTTTCTTAGAATTGGAAAGCAGAGAATAACCAAAAGATATAAAATAATAAAATTTAATTTACTTTGCAACAGTAATCATGCTACTAAAACTACTAAACATAACCTAAAATATATCAAAAGAACCACTACAAATCACACATGAGAACTGCACCAATCATAACAATTTTCTTAGCAAGCAAACAAAGCATAAATCAAGATCAGCTTGAAATTTGCAAATTAATGAATTCTCAAATACATAAACAAACGAGGATAAAATATATGAATATGTAATTTTTATAACTGAATTACCTAGTAGCCGCAATAGATTGAGATGGAGCTTCAGTTCGTAGAGTTTTTGCCTTAAGCTTCTTTGACAAGGACTCCAATTGATCCAAATTCCTCTAATTGCCCACGAGAAATCATTCAAACATAAAAAAACACTTCCACAATATATAAATGGCAAGAAAGATTATAACAAACCAACATTCAACATCGTCAGTTCCACATTTAAATAATAAAAAGGAAAATTAAATAATGGCAAGTTCTTTTATTCTTTGACAAGGACTAAAATTGATCCAAATTCCTCTAATTTCAGACCAATAAATCATTCAAACATCAAACAATTCATTTCCACAATAACAAACCAAACATCGACATTGCTAGTTCCATAGTTAAATAATAGAAAAAGCAAATTAAAAAAATGGAAATAATCTTTATTAGTTTCTTCAGAAATTTCAGTTTTCTCTTGTTTCAATTTTCGAATTGATACCTGGAGAGGAGGGAACTGAGCAGAAGGAGTGGCTTGTTCGAGAAGCTTCGAAGAGGAATGCAGAAGATCCGACCATCCACTCATGTCTGAATCATTCGCCATTGTTCCGCCCGTTTTACAGTCTACACTGTGCAATGCGAAAGCAATTGTATGTATAATTTGTATATAACGTAGAGAGAGGAAGAAAAGGAGGGTTTATGGAGCTAAAAAGCCCTAGTTTGAACGGTAAAGTGTTATACTTTGTGATTGTCTGTGACGCAGCCATGCTCTCTTACAGTGCACTGACGCCAAATCATTCCTACAGTCCTGCTACACTGCCCGGCTCTATTACAGACTATTTCCCGGGCTGACGTGGCAAGCTCATTAAAAAAAAAAAGAGAGAGAATTTTGCTATGTGTACACAATGGAGTATACAAAGTTTTATACCCCACTCACATGGAGGGGGGCCCGCACACAATAAAATATTTATGAGCCCCCCTCCATGTGAGGGAGGTGCAAAACTTTGTGTACACCACAAAATATACACATAACATTTTCCCAAAAAAAAAGGGAAAACATTTAATTTGGTCTCTCCACAAGGACACGAAACCCTTTCCCCCAAATTCACACCCGCCCAAATCAAATCCACACCCATCCAAATCAATTCCACCAAAATCAAGTTGCGAACGGTCACCATCTCTGGCAGCACGTCAACGTAAGGCACCGTCCCTCATTCGGCAGCACTTACATCCCGACGATTTTGGATCTCCGGTGTTTCAAGTTTCTGTTCGTCGGCCGTCGATTTTGTTTGTGTGCCGATGCGTGGAGGCTAAGCCCATGGTTAGGCTAGGCGAGTTTAAGCGAGGCATATGCGTAAAAATGTGTTTTCTTATTTAATGTTATTTTAATTTTTAATCAATTAAAAATAATACTTACTAAACATTTAAAACAGATCTATAGGAATTTTATACATTTTTTCAAAATTTCCAACAAAAATATAAGTTTCAAATTTAAACAACCATTTTTCTTTTAATAACTCGGGTGTCTCAAGAAATTATTTACTGTAAATAAGATTCGTTGGTCGCTTGACTTTTGGGTTCAAATGGTTATTTTAGTTTTAAATTAGGGCAAATTGAAGAAATTAGCATTTAATAATTTTTAACTTCAAAAGAATTGTAAAAACAAAAAAAGCGCGCCTAGGCGCGCATTAGCGGTCAACAGCTGTCGTTGACCGTCAAATAAGATGCTAACCCATTAGGCTTGGCGTTTTGTCATCGCCTTACACCTAGGCGTGCCTTTTAGAACACTTGGTTTAAAATTGTTGACTGGAGTAATAGTTGCAAAAAAATTCAAGAAGCCACGTTTTACTAGAAATGAATTTGAAGTTGTAGATTTATGATGAAATTTGCATAGTATGATGCTAAGAGGCTTGTAATTTCTCCTATTTATTTCGATGATATGCAACTTCATTATGTCATTTGACATCAATTGTAAAAACTTTGTTGAAATTTTGGTAATGAGATGGAGGTTTTTGATATCATCTTCTTCTTATAGTTAAAAATACTTGACTGGAGTAAGAGTTGCAATGAAATTGAAGAAGCCTTCTGTTACTATAAAAGAACTTGAAGTTGTAGATTTATGATGACATTTGCATAGCATGATGCCAAGAGGCTTGTAATTTCTCCTATTTATTTCGTTTATATGTAACTCATTATTTCATTTGACGTCAATTGTAAAAACTTTAAACGGATATCTGTTCAAATGCTATTGCAATGTGGTTTATTCCCATCGCAGAATGGCTGGAAGAGATGTTGGAATATGTCATAGTTGTAGATCTAAAAGCCACTACTTTGCCGAATGCCCACGGAAACGTCGATGTCCATCATGCAAGCATGGATATGAGAAGTGTTTAGTGGTTGAGAAGGAGACTGTAAATAAAGGGCGATTATTTCTTTGTTGTAGTGACAATTGTGGTTTTTGGAATTGGGTTGTGAAAGAAGAATCAAACGAATGGTGTACGCATATTTTTTGTAAAATTCAAACATATCATTCAAATCCTACCCGCCTCAGGTACAACGACGCCGTTTCCAAATGAGGTTTCAACTTCTACTATGTTAACGGAGAACGTCCCGTTATCATCATCTTCTTCCACCAAAACATCATCATGCTCGTTTGGCACTTCATCCATAATGTATTTTGATGCAATAACATAATAGTCACGTTCAGTTATACAGTTAATAACACTACGATAGATAGCTACAAAATTATTTGCGAACAGGTTCTTGAATTCAAGAGAGTGCTCTACCCATCAACAAAATTAGAACATAATTAAAATTTAGTATACGGTAAACTTAAAGGTCATCTTGTCTAGCTTAAAAAAGGTTTACGGGAGAAGAATTTATATTTCGAGATATGAATAAGATTTACCCATTTTTCCTTTCTTAATCCCATGTTCATCAGAAACTAACCCCATAATCAATAATGAGCTGCAAAATCAGGATTCGAGCTGAATAAATGAAATAATGAGTTACATAATATCGAAATAAATAGGAGATAATACAAGCCTAAAATCACCTCTTGATTTCGCTGCTAGTTCAATGAGATAATAGCAGCAAAAGGCTCAAAATGGGTAGCCTTTGAAAGCCTCTGAATTGTCTACAAATTCTTGGAAGTGGAAATCAACCGAGCAGAAAATCGTCCAAGACTGCCTCAAAACCTTCGAAATCCTCTGAATGTTTGTATTCTTGGAAGTGGAAATACGTCGAGCTACAGAATGCAAATGGGTGTTCTTCAAAGCTGTGTTCACGTTATCCAGCTTGTAATGTTCCGACTGAGAATTGGAGATGGGTCGAGCTACAGATTGATTTTTCCCCAAATATTTCTTCTCGCGCGAGTTCTGCTATGAGCGCTCCCAAATCACTCTATATCTCCCTCCTGTAAATCTGGTGAAGCTATGATGTACTCTCTCTCTCTCTCACGTGACATTTAATTTTCCTTCCACTTAGTAAACCCACAGCACGTGGGGACAATTTAAAACCCTATCAACAGGGTGTCATTGAGCCGGGCTTACTAGCTTTTTCCTCTTTCCTAGCTTTGAGGTAACGTGATTTGTAAAATTAAAATTTAATTTTAAGGTTCTTTTATCATTTATAAGAACGTCCTCACGTGATTCTCTAAACACAAAATACTCTCTATTTTAGAGAGTCAATGAGTTTCAAAAAACTCTCTATTTTAACTTTTTAAAATAGTCAGTGGAGTTAAAATTTGCTATCCACCAATGAATGATTGACATATCATTTTACATTAAGGTGTTACCTAATTTTAAGCACGGTTGTCAATTAGAGAAAAGTTGAATATGTTAATTTAAAATGATGTGTCAATCATTCATTGGGTGGACAACAAAAATCTATAAATGGTGTGTTTGGCTCTTTAAATTTAAAGAGTCAAACTCACTCTCTATTCTCTAACGTCCAACTACTGCATTTAATACTATACAAATTTCAATACTTTACAATTTAAATTATTCAAATTGAAACTTCCTACCCAATTATTCAACAAATCCGGAATAGGGTGTTGAAAAGAGGGGACTGATGCGGTCATTGGCGGCGACATTGTATTGTTTCGATTTCAGCAAGATGGTTAATTACAGAAACAGAGTTTTGAGATTGGGAATTAGTCGAAACTTCAATCTCACCATGTGCCTACTTTCTGTTCAACTTTGCTTGAATTGAAAGGGATTGAAATTGAAAACACAAACAAAAATGGGGGAAAAAGATGATGGAGGGGAAGATTATAGGAAAGAAAAAAATCTCACAAAAACAATTTCAATTATGAGAAATTCAAGGAAAAACTTTATTTCATCCAAAATTGAGTTGCTTCAAAGGGTTTACAACATTTAAATAGCGAAACCCTAAGAAAATTTGGAAAGAAATTACCTAATAGTAGAAAATATTATTTTTTTCCAAAAATTTTTGGAAAAAATTGAGATAATGACGGATCTTAATTCTCCTAATCATCCGGATCAACCCCCAACAAACGGAAATCAAATCCAAGTTTATTTGATTAAGATATTATCAAAACAAAAATTACCATAAACGGCAAAAACGCTTCATTGAAGGTCTAAACGATGGAATTTGCCCAAAATTTGACGTGCATCAGGGCCAAAGGCCCTGAGTTGTGATCATTGGCCCGTTTCCAATCAAATTAGACTAGCAATTTGTAAAAAACGAACAAACTTGAAATTAAATAAAATTATTATTTTGCCTTCATCATTCTCCATGGGTTGAGAAAAATTCGCCCTCGAATTTGATGGGGTAGAAACCTCATCATCATCAGAATTATCACCACAAAATGGCGGTTTTGGCGGCAATCCATTTGGAAGCTCTTCCGGGAAGTCTTCATGAAATTCCTTTAGCAATGACTGAATTCTTCGAGTGACCTCCTGCTCACTGTCAACTGACTTTTCCACCAGCACATACACTATCTCATATCCTTCTATATTTGTCTCGAACTTCACTCTGGTCAGTAAATTGGCGTCATCTCCAACTGTTTTTACTGAGCCCTTATCTGGAAACAACACACTCTTCTTTTTCCCAATAGTACACGTCGACTGGAAGAGATTAGTACGCAACCAGTCAATGTTATTTCCAGGGAAGTCAAAAAACTCTGCCTCACCACCAGTGCCCAACCCACATCACGAACCAACTCCTCCTTCTCTACTGCCTCTTCTACACCTTCACTGTCAAATACAGGCGGATCGTAATAATCAAACTCTTCCTCCTCTGTTACTTCTTCAATGTCTTCATTGTCAAATACAGTCAGACCTTCATAATCAAACTCTTCCTCCTCTGTTACTTCTTCAATGTCTTCATTGTCAAATACAGTCAGACCTTCATAATCAAACTCTTCCTCCTCTGTTGCTTCTTCAATGTCTTCATTGTCAAATACAGTCAGACCGTCATAATCAAACTCGTCATCCTCTATTGTTTCTTCAATGTCTTCAATCATGACATCCTGAATATTATGATCACGGTGTTGGACTTCCTCAATCGGAACCTGCCCACGACGACCACGACCTTTAAACGCATGTTGTTGCGGCATAAGTGCAGCAACTTGCTGTGTCA